GCAACCAGACAGGAAGTAGAGGCGGGGCAATGAGAATAGGAAAATTCTAGAAAGGAGGAAGCCCATTCCTCCCCAGTCCTTTCCAACCACAGAAGAAGGAAGATGTGATTGCCCTGCTGAAAAAGATACTGAGCCATGTGGCTAATAAAGATAAGAATAATGGGTTAATATAATTTATAAGAGTTAATAAAAAGTCTGAGCTAATGGGCCAATCAGTTTATCATTAATATAGACATTTGTGTGATTTCTTTGGGGCTAAACAGCTGTGGGACCTGGTGGGAGTACAGAAACCAGGCAGGACAAAAACCCAGACAACAGAAAGGTGTACAATTCCCATCACGAAATAAAATCTTCTATTTGGTTTTAAAGACAGGGTTTCTCTGTGTAGTCCTGGCTGTCCTGGAACTCACACTGCAGACCAGAATAGCCTCAAACTCAGAGATCCACCTGCCTCTGCTTCCAAAGTACTGGGATCAAAGGTGTATGTCCACCACCACCCAGATTAATAAAATGTTCTCCCAAAGCTTACATTACACAGACATCTCCCACACTGAAATCTATAAGGCATCTGGAAAACCAAGCCATCTCTCCCTGACAGCTGTTAAGTTATAACCTTACTTTTAGACCCATCTTAGGGTTTCTATTGTCTAAAAAATAGCAAAACCATGACAACTCTTGCAAAGGAAAACATTTAACTGGGTGGTTTGCAATTTCAGAGGTTTAATCCATTATCATCACAGCAGGACATGGTGGCCTGCAGGCAGACATGGTGCTGGAGGAGGAGCCGAGAGTGGAGAAGGAGCTAAGTCTTGATCCCACAGGCAGCAGAAAGTGGTCTGAAACAATGGGTGTGGCTTGAGCATATATGAGACCTCAAAGCCTGCCTCCACAATGACACACTCCCTCCAACAAGACCACACCAACCCCAACAAAGCAACACCTCCTAATAGTGCCACTCCTTATGAGTTTATAAGGGCCAATTACATTCAGACGACCACAAGACCTAATAACATTAAATAATCCTAGTCTTGGTACAAAGATCCAACTGTTCTGAGCTGGAAGTGGGATCCAATTCCTCCACTAAGTCTTTATGCAGTTATGGGGCTTTCCTTTGGTCACCCCTGGATAATGAAATGCACAATATTGAGGAACCCTGAAAACAAAAGCATTCCTGGGGAGCACAAGAAGTTGCAGTGAGTTCCGCCAACTCTTAAGGATCTAGTCTCCTGAGTAGGAACTCAGGTAACTTTGAAGGAAAAGATAATGGTACTTTATACTAGCTGGTACTAAAAACAGACCATATATGTCTGTGTGTGTGTGCGTGCGCACATAATATATAGTTGTCTATATATATATATATATACATACATACATACATACATATGTGCATATGTGTATGTATATATCAGTATATATACCTATATACACATACATATACACATATGTATACACACACACACACACACACACACACACACACACACTGATTTGGCCTGTGGGTCCTAGCCCTTCCCTTCCAGCCTGCTTTGGAACTTTTTTCCACACGACCTTACTTGTTTTCACCTGCTTTTCTTGGCACTGTCCCATAGTCCCATGCCCACCGAGAAGACTTAAGAAGGGCTGGGCAAGATCAAAGTCTGGAGTGAATTGTATATGCTAAGTGGCTCTCATACCAAAATTTTACCTTCTTTAGATATGAACCCATGTTTAACTGCTATGAAAGAAAAAGCAATGTATTGGCCTCTGTACCACTGGTTGATAATGTTGGACTCTAGCATCCAAACACCGAGAAGGAGTCGCCCCCAGAGACCACACCTCACACACCACAGCCGATGCAAAGAAATGAGGATTTTATTAATTCTGTCATGACAGGGTCCCTCAGCATTTGGGAAGCCGAGAGACCTCGAATAGCTGGTACAGTCTATTTTTAAAGAGGCCACAGAAGCAAGGGGGGTTGTTCTTTGACTATTCTGATTGGCTTATTTGAAAGGGCTATTACCAATAATTGACTGGAGAGCTGTTGCCAGATCAGATGAGGTAAGAGGTCATTTTGACCCCGTTTCCCAGGGGACTGAATCAAAACATACATATATGGGTCATTGTTCAGGAACTGAGTATGTGCGAGTGTAGCTGTTAGGTCCTTGGTTCCCAGGGGAGGAGGGGAAGCACTATGGCACAGGGGCTGAGAGGATTCAGAATTGTCAAAAATGGCTTCAGGATTGTCTTAAAGTCTTACAATAACTCCATCTGAGCCCTCGGTTGAGCTCATTAACACTTTGAATAAAACGGCATATTTATTCCCCATTGCTCTTTTCTTCTTAGGCAAACAAAAGTATGCCCACATCAACTTCCCTTACCACCTAAAGCAAGGCAGCTTCGCAGAATTCTCAACAGTGAGCACACGAGAGCTGCTTACCTTGTGTAAGTGGCCTTAAGCATCAAGCGTCTGTCCTCTACTTCCACAACTGCGGTTTCAAACCTGTGAGGGCCCTTAGCAGCCTGTCTTGTAAGTCCCATCCCCCACTCCGAGAGCACTTCAGTGTCTCAGAAACACCACTTTACCATGTGTCACCTTGCCCTGTCATCATGAGAGAAGCTCCTTTAGTCCATAAGAGAGTCATTTGGAGGTTTTCTGGCCCCAGGAAGGGACCATTACACTGGGAATTCTCCATCAGATAGAATTAAAAGTAGAACCCTGCCCATGACCACTCAACTCACCTGAGCCCTCACTGTCCTCCTGGAAGAATGGTGTGAAAGAAAGGTTGGGGGACTGGTGAGGTGGCTCACTGGGAAAGCTGCTGTCACCAAGACTGATGATCTGAGTTCAGTCACCAGGACCCAATGAGTGGAAGAGAATTCCTGCAAGTTGTCCTCTGACTCCCATGTGCACAATGTCACACTTGTCTCCACACACATAAACACCACAAATATACAGAGATAAATCAGTGTAATTTAAAAGGTTCTCAGAAAGATAGAGTAGAAAGTCAAAGCATTCTGAGTGCTTTGGAGGTCAGTCAGTGACCATCACGCATGCAAACAAAGTGGCCAGCACATATTACATGACCCACACCTAATAAAGTGTCCCTAGGAGACCCCGCCTGAGCAGCACACTGCACTGCAACTCCCAGAGGAAATGGCCACTTTGGAGATTAATCTCCTATAGACTTTTACGTTCTAAATTTATCTCACGAGCAATTTTCTAAGCTCTAGGGAAAGACTTGCTTATGTTTGTTTGTTTCTTAACAGAATTTATTTTAATTATAAAGAAAGGCTGGCTTCCCTATCAATTAAATCTTGTTTCAATTAGTACAACTATCATTTAGGTCATTACGTTAAGTGTTTGGAATTTCTGCTCGAAGGTCACTTTCAATTTAGTAAACATCCCTAAGTCATCGTGTTAATTCCCAGCCAGTCACCCCAGAAACGCTGAGTCAGTAAACAAAATCAAGCATTAGCTAACTAGCCATGAATCCACTTGACTTTATTAATTTCTCTCTTGGCAGAAATGCAAGAAAAGGAAGCAAACCCTCAGAGACATTCACGCATCATTCATTCAATAAATATTTATTATATGCCTAGTGCCAGGCACTATGTTAAACTAAATATAGATTTTATTGAGTTATTAATATTTCCACCTACATTACATATGAGCTCTCTAAAGAGTACAATCCTATTTTCCGTAAGTATATGATTTTAATTCCCAAGGTGCTGTCTCTTCACTTCTGACCTCATGCCTTCCCCCATGGAGTAAGTTACACATCCCAGAGAAAGCTTCCAGACCCCATGCCTCCAGAAACTCACAGAAGCGGCACTAGAAAAGTACTCACAGTGTTTAAAGTTCTCAGTGAATACAAGGAATAAGAAATAATTCGTATTATCACATTCAGTTTTAGTTTTGGCTTTAATATGTGCATCTGGGCTTTAAGTAGAGTACCTTACAATTGTTTTTTTTTTTTTAAAAAGTCTTTTCAAAATACTAATGTGTTCTCTCTCTCTCTCTCCCTCTCTCTCTCTCTCTCTCTCTCCAAATGTAAACAAGGATGTATACATACAATCTAGAAAATAAATCTTTTTGTTTTGTTTTGTTTTACGAGATAAGAGTTTCTCTATGTAACAGCCCAGCTGTACTGGAACTCGCTTTGTAGATCAGGCTGGCCCCAAACTCACTGAGATTCATCTGCCTCTGCCTCCCAAGTACTGGGATCAAAGGTATGTGCCACCACCACTTGGCTGAAACAAAATCTTAGAGTCCCCATTATCAGAGAAATTCCCACTGCTTTGTTACAAAAGAGGCAAACCCCTTTCCTATCTTCTAAAAACAACTAGCACCCCTCTAAATTCAGAACCCGTGAAAATATCCATTCTGAGAGCTGCTGATCAGAAAGGATGATGGGGCTGGAGGCATCCCAGGTCCCTCCTATGAGTTAGGGGCTCCAATCTAGTCAAATCCTCTCGGACATGTCTGTGAGGAGCTGGTATGAATGCTCCAAGCATGTACTGGCGCGCGCGCGCGCGCGCGCGCACACACACACACACACACGGTACCCTCATGCCTGTCCCCTGCAGCCACATGCCCAACTCCTCCAGAGAGCAAGCTTACCTACATACACAAAACACCCCACACCACCCAGAAGAAGAGCTGAGAAGAACCTTTCCCTCTGCTTGGGAGACTCCTGAGGCTGCTGACATCACAAAAGTGTCATCTGGCAACCTCATTGTCATGTGGCTCTCCCCTGGCTCCCCTTCACTTACAAAGGCAGGGAAAGGGTGAGACCTTTCAAAGTCGCCAAGTGGGCAAGCTTCCAACAGCACTCCGGACTGAGCAAGCGGCAGAGTCACCAAGCCGGCAGCAGGGCACTGGGCCTCGCGTTTCAACTTCTGTTCAGTTCTCCTGTAATGGAAAATTGCTTTGCACAAAGCTAGAGTGTTACAGTTTTTCCAGCACCCAGCCCCTGCCCTGCCCCACCCCTCGGCAGCCTTCAGATCAGGACAGCTTGTGCCCGCCCTCAGGAAGGTAGAAGGAGGGGAACCGTGGCTTCTTACTATGTCCCTTGCTTCGGGCGCTGGCCCCCAGTTGTTACTCTTTTCTCTAGGAATGGGACTGGTATCAGGGTCCAACTGCCCAGTCAATTGTCTGTGTCAAGCCCAAGAAGTATCTTGCACAGGTATGCAGCTAATGGAATACCCACTGAACATTCCTCTCAACACCCGGAGGCTACTCCTGAGCAATAACAAAATCGCTAGCTTACCAGCTCTGCAGCTAGGATTCCTCAGTGACCTTGTTTACCTGGACTGCCAGAACAACCGGATTCGAGAGCTAATGGATTACACCTTCATCGGGGTCTTCAAACTCATCTACCTTGACCTCAGCTCCAACAACCTAACCTCCATCTCCCCTTTCAGCTTCTCGGTGCTCACCAACCTGGTGCGGCTGAACATTTCCAACAACCCTCACCTGTTGTCCCTTGACAAATACACCTTTGCCAATACCACCTCTCTGAGGTACCTGGACCTCAGGAACACCGGATTGCGGACCATTGATCACGAGGCCTTGCACCACCTGGTGGCACTCCAGACCCTGTATCTAAGTGGAAACCCCTGGAAGTGCAACTGTTCTTTCCTGAACTTCGCCATTTACTTATTAGTGTCCAAATTGGACCACCCAGGTGAGGGACTGATTGGGAGTGGGGAAGAGGATGTGATGGAATAGGAGGAGTTGGTTTCTGAAAAGGTAAGTCAAAAGCTGCTCAGAATGGGAGAGAAAGCTGGCTGAAAATAATTCAAAGCACTGTTGTTGTTTGACCTGGCCCCTCCTTGGGGGGCTTCATAGGAAAGGTTCTGGAATGAGAATTCAGAGTTCAAACGTGTCACCTACTATTGTCTGCCTTTAGAAAAATCTCATTTCTCTGCACCTCAGTTTCCCATCCATAAAACTGGTAATAGTACATAATTTGCAGAATTGTAGCCAAATAAATGTGTGTGTAAATGTTAAGTATTGTAGTTGTAAGGTAACAGATAATTCAGGGACACTGGGCTCCACTGGTACACTGTGTTAATCTGATTAATGCAGTGACTGAATTTTTCCACGGTCTAAAATAAATTCAGCCACGCAGAGGTAAGAGAGACTCCAGCTGGACTGTGAGATGTGGAAGGGAAAGTTCCACAGGCAGAGGGGCACGGGAGCTAGAGGGACAGCAGAAGACAGGAGAGAAGGAAAGTCTGATTGGTTTTTAAATGCTGACCTCATTAGGAAGGAGAGAGGAGCGTGACTCAGAGGGCAGATCACAGCGCTCAGTGTCAAGCTGACTGAGGCTAGGGTTAGATCCTGACCCGGGAGAGTCCCAAGCTGGGTGCTACCACCCTGGGCACTGACCCAAGCCTCTCTACCATGGCTCTTTCAGTACCCCAATGCCTCACAGCTTCTTCCCAGGGGCTCTGCTATATCCTTCAACCTCAAGGAAGTCAGAGCTTGAGAGAAATGAAGCCCCTTACAGAAAGCCCTGAGCCACTGGTATTGTCCCCACTTGGCAACTCCTGGCCAAGAATGACAGTGCAAGAACTTGTGGGAAGAGGGACATGATGACCACAAGGAAAAATCTGCCCTCCGGACCTCCCAGTGGCCAGGTCTTAAAAAGCCTTCGGGGCAGAAAGCACACTAGAGTGAAGCAAACCAGGATTCCCAGGTAGAATTTAAGAAGGCATCTGACTCGGCTGCTGGAGACTTGAGCTGGAATGGTTAGAATCAACAAGAAGGAACTGTAACTGTCAGAAGCCTCCCCAGTAGCACTAAGACTGAAGGCAGAGGCGATGATACCATCTGGGCCGTCTTCCCTAAGAGTCAGAGAATGCCTTGTATCCATCACTCTAATAGACAGCCAACTTCCGTGCACTAAATGTAGTTCCTACATGTGAGTGTTCCGGTCAGTTCATGTATGCCTTTTCCTGCCCAGCCCCAGATTTATCTGACCACAGCCAGAGAAATCTCTGCAGTGGGACAGTTTTTCATTATGTCTCATTTTCTTTGCTTGGATATTACACCAAAGCAAATCCCCACATACACATTTTTAGAGATCAAATGTGTTAATTAGCACTTGTTAATCACATATGTTACGGTCAGTCCCCCCATCGTGTCTCTTACCCCCTTCCATTCCTACTAATTGTCTTCTTTCCAGCTAGCCTCTCTTCTTTCATGTCCTGTGTGTGAGCACATATGTGTGTGTGTGAGAGAGAGAGAGCACATATGTGTGCGTGTGAGCACATACGTGTGTGTGTGTGAGAGAGAGAGAGAGAGATCGATGAGTTTAATTAGAGTCGTTCACATGAGCATAGCAAGGTATTTATAGGAATACAGGAACATGGGCAACTTATCATTGGCTACATTGCTGAAGAAAATGTCTTCGCCTTCCCTGGTAACCACTAACTGCCAAAAGCTCCTCAGGTAGGGGTAAGACCTTAGGAGCCCCACCCACCACAGAACGTTGACAGGCCCAACCTTATGCAAGTCATGTATCTGTATGATCCAAATATACAGGCAAATTTTCCTTGACTAGTGGCCACCAGGTTGCCAGGGCAGCTTCCTACCCTAGCTGACTACAACGTGGCAATTCACCCTCTCTTCCAGCTCCCAGGCCTACCATGCAATTCACCAAGCTTCCACCCCTCTTGTAATACTCCTTAATCAAATTCCGCTTTTACAGTTATGTCTTCTCAGAATTTTCAGGCTGACTCCTTTGGACTCCTTGACTCATTCAATTCAATCTGTAATTGAACAAGATTACAAAACAGGTCTGCTTCACTACATGTTTTCAAAGACAGCAGAAGGCAAATCTGTCTTGCCAAGCTCATAAATCCCTCATGGATAAAAGGCAGACACCGTTTTCCTCTACCAGCCATTGGGACCCACAGCTGTGGATCTACTCATCCCCTCTGCTGTCCAGAGAACCAGAGTAGCCTTCCAGACCACTTCTAGGAGAAATACGGTCCCATTGTTCCTGCTCATTGCTGACATCTCTGCAACAGAGATGGCTTTTCCTTACAGGTCTCATTTTCTTTGCTTGGCTATTACACCAAACCTTAGATAAATTCTGTGCCACTAGCCTGTGGAAGAGACCCAAACTGATACTTTTAATCCTGTCATCGGATGAGGACATAGGCTGGCTTGACCAAAAATCACACCACTAATAATTTTTTTTAATTGATTTCAAGTTGAGGTCTGAGCTATGCAGTTTAGGGTCAGTTGACAAAATACCTGGAAAAATCTACTTATTTTGGCTCAGAGTTGTGGAGGTTCCATGATCTGCTTTTGGACCTGAAGCAAAGCAATGTGGCAGAGAAAGCTGCTGAAGGTATTGGGGTCCCAATATCTCTTTCAAGGGCATGCACAGAGCTGCCCAAGTTCCTCCACCTACTAACAGCTGCATGGACTGTAGGGGTCAAACCTCTAACACACCGACCTTCGGGAAATATAGATGACATAGCAAGGTCTTTATGAGAATGCATTATTTTTTAAATCTGAAAACCACATCACTATCATCTTACATCTGGTTAGTTAACTATAACTAAATTAGTTTTATTTCATATCTGTCTACTTCTTAGGACTCACAAAAGATTTTTGTTGTTAACAGTCACTATCACAAAGTAATTGTAATATTCCTTTACCTTTACAGATTTCACATAGTCTATTTTAGTGCTCGTCCTCATCTGCATCTTGTTCAAGATCATATTCATCCTTTCATTCCTCTTCCTCTTCCTCCTTCTTCCTTGCACTTTCTCACATGTATGAACACACACACAAATAGGAGCATGAGACAGGAGGTGGTGGCGCACGCCTTTAATTCCAGCAATTGGGAGGCAGAGGCAGGCAGATCTCTTGTGAGTTCGAGGCCAGCCTGATCTATAGAGTGAGTTTCAGTACAACTAGAGCTGTTACACAGAGAACCCTGTCTTGAAAAAAACTAAAATACAAAATTATGATCATACATGTATATAAATATACATAAAAACACATGAACATATACACAAACACAAAGGTAGGTATCACCATATATAAGTATGTGTGTGTATGAATTACATCTATATAGCATACACACATGTATAAATGCACAGGCACAGAAACATACACCAAATTGAACACACAGTAAAATTCACTAGATGCCTCTCATCCTTTAGTAACATTTAACGCAAAGCAGGCACTATTTCACTTGACTGTCCTGTAATTATTTTACAGGGTAGAAATACTTTTGCTATAGATTTACATCCCTGGTGAACTCTCAATTGCAATCTCTACTACTTATATCCTACATTTGCTGGCAAAATGGTGAGCTTGACATGTTCTAGAATGGAACTCACACTTCTCCCCCAGATATCCACAGTTCAGGACACAGGAAGAACGTCAGTGACACAAAGTAGCCTGGTTGTAAAGGAGAATCCAGTTTGTAAAAGGGAGGTTCTGTTGATGCGAGAAGATACAATCTCTTAGCATTTGTATGGTCCCTGTAGCGCAGTATGAGGGCAGTATGTTGCTGCGACATCAGTCTACACGTACCTTCTAAAGCAACAAGTGAGGTGCTGGGAAGATGTCTCAGGGGAAGATCACTTGTTCAGTTCCCTAGATCCCCACAATCACAGAAAAGCTAACCACTGTCTATAACTCCAGTTCCATGGGATCTGACACACCCTCTTTTGATCTTTGCAGGCACTGCATACATGCAGTGCACTTACAATACATGCAGGCAAACACGTAAAATACATATAAAATAAAAATAATTTTTAATAGTTTTTATTGAGATATATATTTTTTCCATTCTCCTCTCTTCCTCTCCCCTCCCCTTATACCATCTCCAATGACCCCCATGCTCCCAATTTACTCAGGAGATTTTGTCTTTTTCTACTTCCCATGTAGATTAGATCCATGTATGTCTTTCTTAGAATCCTCTTTGATGTCTAGGTTGTCTGGGATTGTGAATTGTATGTAGGCTGGTTTTTCTTTGCTTTATGTCTAAAAGCCACTTTATTATATTTGTCTTTCTGGGTCTGTGTTACCTCACTCAATATGATGTTTTCTAGATCCATCTATTTGCCCGCAAATTTCAAGATATCATTATTTACCCCCCAGCCACTGTGTAATACTCCATGGTGTAAATGTACCACATTTTCCTTATCCATTCTTTGAGGAGAATTTAGGTTGTTTCCAGGTTCTGACTATGACAAACAATGCTTCTATGAACATAGTTGAGCACATGTTCTTGTGGTACAACTGAGCATCCTTTGGATATATACCTATAAGTGGTATTGCTGGGTCTTGAAGTAGGTTGTTTCCTAATTTTCAGAGAAATCACCATACCGATTTCCAAAGTGGCTGTACTGGCTTGCACTCCCACCAACAATGGAGGAATGTTTCCTTTACCCTACATCCTCTCCAGCATAAGTTGTCATCAGTGTTTTTGTTTGTTTGTTTGTTTGTTTTTCTGTTTTTTTTTAATCTTGGCCATTCTTACAGATATAAGATGGAATCTCAGAGTTGTTTTGATTTGCATTTCTCTGAGGGCTAAGAATGTTGAGCATTTTCTTAAGTGTCTTTAGGCCATTTTAGATTCCTTTGTTGAAAGTTTTTTGTTTAGATCTGTACCCATTTTTTAATTGGATTATTTGTTCTTTTGATGACCAA